TGTGTGATGATGATGCTGATGATCGTGAGGGTGGTGGATGAAAATGATGATGGTGGTGATGATGGCGATGGACGACGATGACAGTAATGGTGATGATGATAATGTGTGATGATGATGATACTGATGATCGTGAAGGTGGTGGATGAAAATGATGATGGTGGTGATGATGATGATGATGATGGTGATGATGATGGTAATGGCTATGAAGATGGCGATGCTTCTGATATGGTGATGCTGCTGCTGATGGTGGTGATGTTGATGTAGGTTGATGATGGTGATGATGATGATATGATTATGATTATGATGATGGTTATGATGCTGCTGCTGCTGATGATGGTAACGGGTGCTGATGATGTCCTCACCTGGAATCCTGCTTGCTGTACTTCATGTGCCCTGATCACGTGTGTCAAGCCATTTCTGGTTAAGAACGCGTCCAGGGCTGTAGAACTGTTAGAAATGTTGAAATAAATGGCTAAAACTGGAGTGGAACATTACTTTTAAACACTACTAATGACTGGAGTCGTTATGGCAAACTCCCATAATCCTTAGCGTTAGGGATTTTTCCTCGCTGTTCGTGATATTGTGACCCACTCCCGTCTATGCTCAGTGCTAGTGCTCAGTCCCCTACTCGTTTTCGTCACTGAGGGCGGTTTTTACCTGAACGCATGCGCTGTCCCTCTCTTCTTGTTCGGTATGAATCCATCATTTTCTTCTAGCTTCCTTTTTATTTCTGGGGTTTGCTCCTGCAATCTAAAGATAAATGTAACAACCAATAAGAATGATCCTTCAATAGAGCTTTTGTACCAAATGTATCGGCAGCCATGTTGGATGCAGAACAATAAAATCCCTTTGCTCTTGGGAATTGAAATTTTCCTCTAGCAGAACGATTATATTGTTCTTGCCATCCAACATGGCTGCCGTCACGTGATGGTGCAAAACGACTATAGGGATTCTTTACATTTTTGGGGCGTAAATTAAGATTTCTTGTTGGAATTTCATCCTTGTAGTAGATGTCACTTGTAAAGAATATACAATACTCAAGGGAATGACACTTTGTATCCAGGCCATGCTTCATTCCCTTGAATACTATTTCTTTTCTTAATAAATTTTTTTCAAAATCTGAAATCAATTTATCATTAATATATTATTATAGCTAACACTGTCTAATTTGGATAAACGACATTGTTTTGGATAATCTGCAATCGTTTAGACTTAGGAATGTATTGGACGACGATTGACTGGACCATGAATCGCATAAAAAAATCGTGGAATTTTCAGCTTTTGAAAGGGTATGGATAATCTTAATGTATAGTTAAAACATACCCAACCTCTCAATATTGATTTACTCTTCTAAATTCTGAGTTTTGGGAGTTTTTTTATTTTGGAAAATCAGGAACCGAGCATAAATGGACTGGACTGGACGTCGGGTAACTGGATCGTGCGGATCGAAAAACGTTCTTCACCCTTAATTTGCAGCTTTTATCCTGTAATTTTTATTTTGATATTCATAACTAGTAAATTTATAGTAAAAGTTTGCAAAAAAATTTTTTTTATTAATTTTTTTTCTTCATAACTAGAAAATGTTATATTGGATCTTGGATCGCAAAAACTGAGAAAGAAAAAGAAATATTACTCAAGGCAATGACATGTGCTTTGAAATGGTTTTATAAGATGATGAATGAAAAGTTAAGATCATCCAAAGATGCCATGAGACAAATAAGACATTTTACTATCATCAAAATATCCGATGCTTGAAGTGGAAAATTGGGGTTCCTGTGGTGATTATTCGGACCAATCACAGTTGAGATCGCAATATTCCTTCCTTCACCACAAAGTGCCTCAACACATTAGTAGAATAACGTCTAGCAATAATTTGTTGAGAGAGGTCCTACCCGAGTGTCATCGTGCTTATTTAGTTCAGTTATTGCCCAGAGGCCTTTATTTCCATTAAAAAAATCGAATCACAAAAAGCTATCTAAAGGCCTATTTACACGGCACGTTTTGCCGCGCGCGACTTGACGTATACGGCAAATTTTGGTACCATTTACACGAGCACAACTTGTCGCACGCGGCACGAAAAAAACGCGAGCAATTTACTCGTCAAATTACAAGACTATTTCTCATTACAGCAAATGCTTCTTGTAAAATGCCACCATACACAGTTGAGAAGTGCAGTAAATAATTATGTCTACATTGTTATTTGATGAGATCATTCAGAATTTTTGCACTTCGTGTTTAATTACCGGTAAAGAGGTTTTCATGGAAATCCGCCATTTTGTTTTGGAATCAACTAGTTCCAGTCCCAATCTCGATCAAAAACGTTATTTTTACGTCATTTTCCTACGGCATGTCGTAGGGTTTTAAGCCAAAGCTTAAAATGCTACGACAAGTCTTGAGGCCGCGTACGTCTGTCGTAGGACCATTTACACGACCCGATTTTGAGCTGATCTTGCCGTATACGTCAAGTCGCGCGCGGCAAATCGTGCCGTGTAAATAGGCCTTAAGGCCCCGTCCACACTATGCCGGATAAATTTGAATCCGCAACTTTCACACCGAAACCGAAAAAAAGTTTTCCGTCCACACATGAAAACGGGTAAAATGTTTCGCGTCCACACTAGTCCGATCAGAGGTGGCAAAAACGCTTCATTGCACATCTGAGCATCGAAGCTGAAATTGAGCCTGCGGGGAATTTTTAGCCTTCCCGCCATGTTCCCATGACATTCATGACTTCATCGTATTCGAAAAATTTCGGATACGAAATGTTCTTCGTCCACACTAATGCGGCTAGTTGGCGTTTTCAAATTGTTCCACTATGGAGACCGTGTTTGTAAAAAATCGTTTTCGGTGAAGAATTGTTCCGGATTCGCCTGGACTAGTGTGCACGGTAGGCCTAACCGAATAAATAAAAATCGGATTCAAATTTATCCGGCATAGTGTGGACGGGGCCTAAGTAAATAGATCATCAGTAAAGATTTTCGATCTGAAATAGTGGTAAGATTTTACCCTAATGTAATATGGCGTTTTTATCATTCACCATGATTTCTTCAGTCTTAAAATCTTGAAAGTTACCGAGTCAAAGTTGAAACACTATCCAGTTACGTTACTATAGCAACCTTGACAGAAACATTCTCGAATCTTTGGCTTTTATATTGACATAGACGGAAGTGTTTGCTCCTGATGCTTTTGCCATTTAAAAGTCTGTTTATCAAGCTCTTTCGGTTTCTTATTCATTTCCAAAAACTTTAATGAAACGCGAAGAAATGAAAATTAAAGATAAATAAGTCGATCTGTGATTAGTACTTTTACAGCAATTTGATTGGCTAAAAACAGTGGTCTTACATATTTATTTATAACCTTTGTGGCGTGGACATACAATTGTGCGACACGTTGCACTCAATAACACTGTATCTGTTTCGCACCAAACTGCCGCCATCTTTTCAAATTATTTGATCCATCCATTTTAATACCTAATACTTTTGTTCGTATCGTCCAATTGTACGAATATAAAAAAAATTGTCTCTGTTGTTGTACTTGCTGGCAAATTCTGGCAATAATGCGAAGTTCTCAGCCAGTGACTTCTGCACATGTGTGCATGTCTGACAAGAATTCTGCGACGCGTTTCATTGTTCAGATGAAGTAAAAGTTGCTACGTGTTATATCCTTCAAAAAAAAAAAAAAAAAATCCTTATATCGTAATGGATAAACTTGTAGCCTTCTTTAACTGTTAACTATAAATTTCTAATTATGACCGGAGATTATAATTTTTAAAACATCGTTTCTCTAATTGTCGATCAATCAGCACTTCGACATTTTATGCTCTTCACTGCCCACGTCGAAAGTCATCATTTCAAAGTCAATCCGCGTGAAAAAAATATTTTTAAAAAACACGAAAAATGTGTCCGAGTTTGACGCAGTTAATGAATTTTTGTGGCTTATCAAAGATACCAATAGAAATTCACTTATATTGTATTAGTTTTTATATGCAATTATATTTAGTCTTCAGTACGTAAAACGTGAATAAAGATTATTTTAAAAAAATTGAAATTCACATTTGTCTTACAAAAGATTTTAGATACCTATAGAAATTCACTTATATTGTATTAGTTTTTATATGCAATTATATTTAGTCTTCAGTACGTAAAACGTGAATAAAGATTATTTTTAAAAAATTGAAAGTTTTGTACGAGTGGAATACGAGCAACGTCACTACATCAGGTGACATCACCCTCATTAATAACTTTGTTCTTCAAGAACTACAAGATTCTTTGACTGTTGTCTCTAGACTTTTATACATAAATCAAAGACAGTATTTTATATATTGTGTTTCATTGAATTCGTGTGCACACATTTTCCTCAAAGAATTTTTCCCGTGAAACTTTGAGAAGCACAATGTTTTAAAAATCCCTACAGCACTGATTTGAGCTTGATTGAACATCATCAAGGCATGGTAAGGCATGAATATTCAAACTTTTGTTAACGGCTATAACACGAAGAAAAATAATTCAAGCGCTCAGGCGTGGAAAAAGAAGCGGAAAAAATGATACCGAGTTAGATTTGTACAGCAAACGCCGCTGTAAACGAATCGACACAAATTGAATGTAGTTTAGACCAGTCGTTAAGGCTAGCAGTAAAGTTACCAGGAGACTATAGCACCTGTTTCAACCAAAGGATAGGATATTATAGTCTTATTTCATTGAACGAGAAGCGATCTTCACGCAACAAATGAACATCTAACTACGAAAAATCCTATCGATTTTGTTCGTCAAAGCGGAATCCATTCATCACGAGATGAGTTGCATCGAATACCTTAGACTTCTAGTACGACGTCGAATCGAGGATATCATAGAGTCAGAGACAGTTTTCCATCGTTGTTTACAATCACTAGATGTTACCGTACTTGGTCTTGGGTCTATGCTTGGAGCTGGTTTGTACATCGCCACAGGAGCAATCGCTAGAAATACAGCTGGTCCAGCAATAGTCCTGTCCCTCCTTATCGCTGCTGTACCTGTAACCATATCTTCACTATGTTATGGGGAGTTTGGATCACGTATCGGTAGGACTGGTTCTTCTTATTCCTACACTTATTATTCCTTAGGTGAAGTGTGGGCTTTCTTGGTTGGATGGAATCTTATTCTAGAAAACACTATAGCTGTAGCACTTCTTGGACACGAAGTCAGTCGATTCCTAGACGTGATTTGTAATGGGTATATCTATCGATTCTTCAAAGAAAACATCTCCAATTGGCACGTAAGAGGGTTTCTGCCTTTCCCGGACTTTTTAGCATTTATTATAATCATTGTATTTACAATCATTTCTGCTTTGGGGGCAAAACAGACGGGTTCATATATTCGTATAGCCACGTTAATCAATATCCTCGTCATCCTGTTTGTTGCTCTTGCGGGGGTTTACTACATGGACACAAAGAATTGGTCTACGATGCACAAATTCATGCCTTTTGGCATCCATGGGGTCATGACTGGAGCCGCTAGCTCGTATTTCGCTTATCTTGGATTCGATACCCTTAACACAGCAAGCGAAGAAGCTATCGATCCTAAGACTACAATCCCTTTGGGCAACAACATTAGTACCTACGCTGGGGTCCTTGTCTATCTCGTCATTGCATCAGTACTGACATTGATGATTCCGTACAATCTGTTGTCTCCTGACACAGCCCTCCCAGAAGCATTTGCTTACGAGAATTTCCCTCTAGGCAAATATTTTGTGGCCGTGGGGGGAGTGTTTGCCATGACGACCTGTCTCTTGACGTACCTTTTCTCGGGGGCTCGAATAGCATATGCAATGGCAAATGATGGTCTTATTTTTGAGTTTTTCGGAAAAGTTCACACAAAGACTCGAGTACCCGTGCGAGCAGTATGTGTGTGCGGTTTTACAGCAGCCACTGTTGCCTTATTCGTCGATGTCAATAACTTGGTTGAAATGCTTTCCATTGGTACACTTTTAGCGTATACTATGGTGGCAATTGCAGTCATACTAGACCGGTATATGCCTCATACGCTTGAGGAATCATTGAATGAATTCTCGATTACTGTTCCTGTACTCAGGAAAGATCCACCTATAGACAACAATGACAATGCAGGACAAGATAGCAATAGAGGAGATGGGACAAATCTATTTGACTGTTGTCCAAACTTGTTCAAACGCAAAGACAACCGCACCACGAACTACAACGAACTGCCAAAAACAGAAGATGGCATTAGAAAGATGAAAGAACCAAAAACACCCACAGACCAGACGTATGGGGTGTCCTGCTTGGCCTGTGCCTGCCTGGTCGTTTCTGTCTTTGGGTTTTGCCTGGCAATTCCCAGTAATAATAGCTTCATATTAATTCTAGTATCCAGTGTGATGGGTATGACAAGCAGCGCCTCGTTTGTAGTTCTCATGGTGCAGCCAAGACGTGCTCCTCACACAAAGTTCTCTGTGCCGTACGTGCCTGTTGTACCCTTGATAAGTGTTGTCATTAATGAATACCTGTTGACCAACCTGTCAAAGATCACGTGGGCTAGCTTTGCTGCATGGTCCTTTATTGGTAAGTAATTATATCATCTTGTCATCATCACTATCATTCACATCGTCATCATTAGCACCATCACTATCATCCATCATCATCTAATCGTGATGATGATCATCAGTAACATTATCACTCACCGTCATCACCATCATTACCACCAGCACCATTATCAATATCATCACTTTATCCTCATTATCATGCTGTTGTCATCATCTTGACGACAGCATCGTGATCACGGCAATCATTATCATCTCTAGCTATGCTTCTCCAATACTAGCATGCATCATTATCATCCATCATCACTATCACTGCCTGAAAATTATCATTATGAATCTCATTATCATCATCGTTATCATTACCATCATCATCACCACCATGTATCATCATCATGTATCATCATCATGTATCATCATCATGTATCATCATCATCATCAACCCCATTATCATCACCATCACCATCACTATCAGCATCATCACCATCACCACCATCATCACCATCATCATCAACATCATCACCATCA